GCTGTACTGCTGGGACAAAATAGTAAAACCAACATGACAAAGAATTGTGATAAAATCGTAAATAGTGAAATGATATATTTGCCATATCGCCCGCCCCTAAATGTACGTGAGTGCAAATGACCTCAAACATCTGGCGTTCATGATGTGTTAACGGGGACAGTCCATCTCAACCACACAGCAGTGCTAAATATTGAGAGCTGTTAAGAAAGTGTTGTTGGTGTTCTTCTAATGTTGTTCTCTCTCCCAGCTTGCATTGGCAATCGCAGATCTGGCACTTCAGATGGCCTCGTGGAAAGGCTGTGTTCACACCCTCATAGAAAAGTAAGAATCTACTTTAGAATTTCCTTCATTTGCATTTTATTGACATGTTCTTTACCTGTGGCCCTGGCTGATCCATTACTGATCCATTAAATCAATAGTGTCAGGATTAGGTTTGCTTGGCTGCAAAATTACTTAAATAGCACCATTTTTAATCACCTGAAATGTGTAATAATTCTAAAATAATTGCACTTAAAATAGTTGATGTCACCTTGAAATTTCAGTATTTACCCAGCGCTCTGTTTTGGCTCTTCCAGATACAGTAACGATGTGTCCTCCATGCCTTTCCTGATTGAGATACTCACCGTTCTGCCAGAAGAGGTGCATAGCCGCTCTCTGAGGATTGGAGCCAATCGACGGTCGGAGATTATTGAGGATCTGGCCTACTACTCTACAACAGTGGTCACTCTTCTGGTCCGGACACATTGATATCGGCAAAACAATTTCAATCCTTTGTTTTGCACTTTGCAGCCTTAACAAGATGCCTAGCCTGCCTGTCCAAAGTTTAATGGTTATCACATCCTTAAGCCACTTAAAGCATGCAAGATACGTGACTCCCCATGCAGGGCTCAAGGAGTATGGTTAATTATTATTGTTTAAAATTTTAGCTGTAGATTTGTAAGTGTTTGAAAATGTGTTTTTTTTATATATAACTTGTATAAAAAATATATTGGAAATAATTGTAGATGTTATAATATTTAAATTGGCAGAATTCTCAAAAGGAAGTTTGCAAGGCATAAAACCACATCTCTTCCTCTATTGAGCCATCATATGTTGCTTTTACTTTGCTAACTCCCTCATCCTTTGTTCTGTGCGGTCATTCCACCCATGCAGATCATTTTAGTGGTTTAGAGTCTTCGTAAACATGTAAATGAATGGTTTATGATTCTGAGCTTGGCTGTTGGTGTATTTCCATGATCAGGTGACGTGTGCGGAGAAGTCCGGACATGATGAGAAGATGTTTATCAAGGTGTTCCGGTGTTTGGGGAGCTGGTTTAATTTAGGAGTGCTGGACAACAACTTCATGGCCAGCAATCAATTGCTGATGATTCTCTTCCAAGTGCTGGTGAGATCAGCAAATGCAATCAGACAATCACTTAGCTCCCACTTTCTCTTACTTTTATTTATAAATATCTCCCCCCACCCGTTCATTGCAGCAGAGGGATGAGACGTCCACAAACTTGCATGAGGCGGCATCGGACTGTGTGTGCTCGGCACTGTATGCGATCGAGAATTTGGCCGTACACATGCCTTTGGCCATGCAGCTCTTCCAGGGAGTCCTCTCTCTAGAAACGGCTTACCACATGGCTGTAGCCCGAGAGGACCTCGATAAGTACGTATGGCATTGTTTGTGATCAATGTATGCAGTTCATGCAAGCCTACATGCAAGACAAAATATCTCTGTTCCGATATCCAGTGAGATGCTGTAAGACAGCATTGTACGTCACATGGGACCATATAAGTACATGTGTAGCTAAAACAAATAGCACAAATAGGCACAATATGCGAACTGGAGACTTGACTCTCAGATGATTTCAATATAGTTTGATGTTAGCATGTTGCTAAACTAAAACCTCAACTTGTGCAATACTCTAAATGGGAGACTCGACTCTCAATTCATTGCAATAGAGTTTGACGTTAAGATTTTGCTACATTAAGAGATCTTCACAAATGATTTCCATAGCTATATTTGAGCTAAAATCTCAAATTGCGCAAAAACACACAACTGTAACCTGTCTCACATTTGATTTCGATAGTTTGTTGTTAGCATGTTGCCATCATAGCAGCTCAAACGGAGTAATATACTAAAGAGGAGACTTGACCTAATTGATTTCTGCCAAGTTTGACGTTAAAGCGTTGCTATGGTAAAAGCTCAAATTGCGCAAATATACTAAACTGAAGTCTCGGTTTACAGTTGATTTCAATAGAGCTTGACGTTAACATGTTGCTATGCTGAAAGTTCAAGTCGCACAATATTTTATACTCAATTTACATATAGTTCGATGTCAAATTGTGTAATACTCTAAATGCTAAAAATACATAACATAACTATTGTCTAATTATTTAGATTGAATCAATATTTTTTTTGGTTGCATAAGGTTTTGGGAGAGAGCAAGTGATTTGTGTTGTAAACTGCGTCTGCTTTTTTCCCTTTTCTTTCTTTCCTTTTTCTCCACAGGGTGCTAAATTATTGCCGGATCTTTACGGAATTGTCCGAGACATTTTTGGAGATGACTGTAAGGACTCCTGGCCAGGGCATGGGAGATCTACGCACCTTAGAGTTGCTGCTTATTTGTGCTGGACATCCTCAATATGAGGTTTGTGTGAAACATATTCACATGTAGCAAGTGAAAGTGAGTATGGGATTTATAAGCATCCTTGTTGACTGTCTGTTGGGAATCTTTGTCCTACTTCAGGTGGTTGAGATCTCGTTCAACTTCTGGTACCGTCTGGGAGAAAATCTTTATAAAATGAACGATCCGGCGCTTCACAGAGTGTTCAAGCCGTACATACAGAGACTACTGCACAGTCTCGCCCGCCACTGCCAGCTCGACCCAGATCATGTGAGCATCCTTCCCTTCCGTATCTTTCTTTTCCTTCACATGAAAGACTCCAATCACTCAAATACAAGCCACTTCTTTCTAGTACTTATTGCTTTTGTACAATAAAATTTAATGGGCTACATGATTTCCTTCAGTTCTTATTTTGCCACCTTTATTTATATAGCGCTTTTAACAATACAGATTGTGTCA